ATCTCTTGGTAGCGTACTTGTATCATACTGGTCTCGTTGTAGTGTACTTATATCATACTAGTCTCTTTGTAGTGTACTTGTATCATACTCATCTCTTGGTAGCGTACTTATATCATACTCGTCTCTTTGAAGCGTACTTGTATCATAGTCGTCTCGTTGTAGTGTACTTGTATCATACTCATCTCTTGGTAGCGTACTTGTATCATAGTCGTCTCGTTGTAGTGTACTTGTATCATACTCATCTCTTTGTAGCGTTCTTGTATCATACTCGTCTCGTTATAGCGTACTTGTATCATGCTCGTCTCTTTGTAGCGTTCTTGAATCATACTCGTCTCTTTGTAGCGTCCTTGTATCATACTCGTCTCTTTGTAGTGTACTTGTATCATACTCATCTCTTTGTAGCGTTCTTGAATCATACTCGTCTCTTTGAAGCGTACTTGTATCATACTTGTCTCTTTGTAGCGGACTTGTATCATACTCGTCTCGTTGTGGTGTACTTATATCATACTTGTCTCTTTGTATCGTACTTGTATCATACTCATCTCTTGGTAGCGTACTTGTATCATAGTCGTCTCGTTGTAGTGTACTTGTATCATGCTCGTCTCTTTGTAGCGTTCTTGAATCATACTCGTCTCTTTGAAGCGTACTTGTATCATAGTCGTCTCGTTGTAGTGTACTTGTATCATGCTCGTACTTTGTCCATGGTGCGACAACTTTGTCCTTCGTGTCAAATCATATCATACTAGTCGTCTCTTTGTAGCGTTCTTGTATCATACTCGTCTCATTGTAGCTTACTTGTATCATTCTCGTCTCTTTGTAGCGTACTTATATCATACTGGTCTCGTTGTAGTGTACTTGTATCATACTCGGCTCTTTGTAGCGTACTTGTATCAGACTCGTCTCTTTGTAGCGTCCTTGTATCATACTCGTCTCTTTGTAACGTACTTGTATCATACTGGTCTCGTTGTAGCGTACTTGTATCTTACTCGTCTCTTTGTAACGTACTTGTATCATACTGGTCTCGTTGTAGTGTCCTTATATCATCCTCGTCTCTTTGTAGCGTCCTTGTATCATACTCGTCTCATTGTAGCTTACTTGTATCATTCTCGTCTCTTTGTAGCGTATTTGTATCATACTCGTCTCGTTGTGGTGTACTTATATCATACTTGTCTCTTTGTAGCGTACTTGTATCATACTCGTCTCGTTGTAGTGTACTTGTATCATACTCGTACTTTGTCCATGGTGCGACAACTTTGTCCTTCGTGTCAAATCATATCATACTAGTTTGTCCTTTGATTGATAATATCATGACAGACAGACAAGCAGGTATCCTATTTTCTTCAAATTGATTTACGGTTAATATATATACCTGGAATACAAATATGCATTACATTTTAATTATAAAGTACATACAAGAATTTTTGCATTTTGCACCATTTTCTTTTGAAGGCCTTATTCAGTTTTTCCATTCTAGTTCAGTCACACATACTATTGTAGAATCCCTAAACAACATAATAACACTGATTCTGTTCACTTAGATTTCACAACACCATCCGTCATCAAGTCTTCACTTAAATCATACTGGGGCCATAACAGTTGGTAGCTTTTCATAATATTGACCCCAAGGTCATAGGTTCAATCCTGAAAGGAGGCAGGATGTGGTTGTGTCTTTGATCAAGACACTTCACTCATATTGTTCCAGTACACCCAGTTGTACAAATGGGTACCAACATGCTTTGGGAGTAAATCTGTAACACAGGACTTCCAAGTCTTAATTACATGTACCTGACAGTGTCAGTCTTGGATGAATTTATTCTTGTTAAAAATGAAAATGAATATTCATTAGATGTTCTAATGTGTCATTTAAAGGAAAGACATTATCATCGTCATACAGTAAACATAGGGTTTTATAGTACAGATAAATGATGAGAAAAAAGCTTCAAGAAGTCTTTCCCAGAATATTTAGTCTAGGTATTTTAATGGATGTAAGGACATTTGTAAACATATAAAATCGGAAGTCTATATGTCGATAAATTAAACAGGGATTTTTCATGAATGAAACATCAATTTAAACGTCTGTCTAACATGTACCGTCTCGAGCACAGTATCTTAAAATGTCATAAAACAGCATTAAATGTTGTTGAAGGTTTTTACCTTGTCGATTGTAAACTGTTTTATCACCCCAAGACTAATGATGACGCTGACATTTTCAATATCGTCTGATTTCCTGTCGATATTCCCACGTTTTTATTTTCAATTTTGTAATAAAAGTTGTTGGAGCATGAGGCAGACAGGAACTTGGAATGAGTCGTCATATATATAGAGAATGCATTATCAACTGATGTGTACTGCTTGTAAACTCCTACCGAAACGGAGGTACAATGAGAGCACAGCCATGCTTGATTGAACTCACTTTATATCACATTTAGATGTTCATAACGTAATGAAAGGAACTTTAATCTGCTTATGTATGTATTTCCTGGGAATTACGATTCATAATTATTCTTTTATGTCGGGGATACGTTTTATAGAATATTGAATGACTTGGGGACAAATCCACACATTTGCGTTACTGTTCTGGTTATTTCTCACCTTTAGTGCCTAACGGTTAGTCTAGTATTGGCTGTGGTTATATAAGTGCCTAACTTTGTGTCTGGTACCACTCGGAGGTCCATAAGTACATATAGGTGTCGGACGTCCAGTAGTGAAGTTTGTGTAATTTAACATAAACTGTGGTTAACATTTCAGTTGTGGGGACTGATCAAGCAAGGCTGGAAATGTAAAGGTAAGTTGATATTGTGTTAAACACTAACACCTGTACAGGTGTGTGTTCAGAAAGGTGAACGCACCATCAGATAACATTGTTTACCTAATGTTTCTGTCTGTCTACCTGTATGTTTACCTGTGTGGGCGTACTTTTCCTTAATTTTTTTGTTTCTGTTTTACGTAGTTGAATATTAATCATCTATTCTAGGTGTATCTTACCATTGGTCGTTAACTGTAAACTCAATATTAATCATCCAACTTGTATATAGCATGACGTGACATTATGAAATACATATGTAGTTCAGTTTTTGAAGTAAAACAGCTTATAATCGGAAACCAGCACACATATCCTATCTTAAAGGATTTACTTGGATTCTATACAGGGATATATGAATTTCAATTTTCAACCAGGTAAAAAAATGTTTTTAAGTTTTAGAGATTTACTGTATAGACAAGCCATGTCTGTACCATTTTATGATAGAAGCTAGACCACATATTCTATTTCAAAGGGTGGATTTGATTCTAAAGAAGGATGTATTTACAACCAGGTAAACTTTCAAATTTAAGAAATTTGATAAAGACAACTTTCCTATTTACAGTAGATAACATAATCGTAAGCTAGACCACATATTCTGTTTCAAGGGTGGATTTAAAAAGATTTTTTTTTTAAGGGGATGAATATGGTGGTATTTCATTTTCATTTGTCAACCTGGTAAAATTTTACTTTAAACTGAATGTGTTCATAAACTCTTTTTCTATTTCGGTTTCTGTATCACATCGGCTTCATATATGTGTTTTTTAACACCTGTTTGAACGTCATTTCCACGTAAATACTCCACTACATAATTTGTGTTACTGTCATTTGACATACCATACCGGTGTTCGACATACTTTGTCATCGTCAGGTATATTTACCTGGAGGGGAGTAATTAACACGAGGTAAAATATACTGGAGTTTTGGTCGGATGGATATAATCACTTCGTCAATAGAAACACATTGTTGTAGCTAAGTCCAACTCCAGGCAGGTGTTAGCTTTATAACTGACTATTGATGTAATGTTCAGATGGAATTTCATTAGAATCTGTTGTACCAGAAACTTTTAATGCATGTATATAAATATGTGACTTCAATTTGTGTAGTTAAATGTTTCACGTAGTACTGTTGAATTTTGGGAGCGAAGTGATGATTAATTAACTTGATCATATCTCTAGAATATTTCATGAATTATTTCATTTTTAGCTCACCTGGCACGAAGTGCCAAGTGAGCT